AGTTTGCGTGTTTGCCTAAAACTGTCGCGTCATCTGATGATGGACATTTGGGCTGGTTCCAACTCTTGGCTATTGTAAAGAGTGCTGCGATGAACACTGGGGAACAGGTATACCTTTGAATTGATGCTTTCCATTGCTCTGGGTATATTCCCAGCAGTGGGATAGCTGGGTCATATGATAGATCTATCTGCAATTGTTTGAGGAACCTCCATACCATTTTCCATAGAGGCTGCACCATTTTGCAGTTCCCTATGTGGTAGGTTTTACAATGCTCATCTACAGATTAGGAAACGGAGACTCAGGTAGAGTAATTGCTAAGGGCACATAACAGCAGAGTTTAGATTCAAACTGAATCTTCATTATACTAGAAATAATATAATGATAATATAACTTAAAGACCATACTCTTAAACTATCACACACAATCTGAAGAGCATGTCTCTATAACTCTGACGAAAATTCACAACTGATAAGTCATTAAAAAAAAATTTTTTTTTTCCCTTTTTGTCTTTTTTACTGACCGGTAACGGGATCGCAACCCTCGGTGTTGCGCCCACACCATGCTCAGCCAGTGAGCGGGAACCAGTCTCCACATGGGATCCGAACCCTCGGCGGGAGTGCCGCCGCGCTCTCAAGCGGCGCACTCTCCAGTGCACCACCAGGCTGGCCCAGTCATTAAAATTTGCTAAGAGACTCCATCATGTTACAATGCCTCAAAGACCACTGTCATGGTTAGGGCAGGAATGCTTCTTCCTACTTATGATGTTTCCTTCTGTGCGTATGTGTGTGTGTGGGGGGGGGGTGCCACTCATGTATATCATTTCTGCCTCCTCTCCCCTACTGCTCCCCAGAAAGAGGAGGAGCAACTTCTCTCACCAGGGAGTAGGGGACAAGAACTGCATGCATTGCTCAGCTCTTTTCCCTCTCCTTCCACCTTTGGGAACCAGGCTCTGCTCCTCTATCTCTGGAGTCTTGCAGGTGCAGACCGTCATGGGCAGAGGGCTGAGGGGGTCAAATTCTATCTGTTACTGGTGGGCAAGTCCAACGAATTCTAGAGTTTAGTATTGAAAAACTGTTGTCACATCGAAATCTAAACCACATTCTCCAAAACAAGTTTTTATCAGGATTAAAGGTGATTTCTTTTCATCATCTGCCACTTCTTTGCCTAAGTTCCCTCAAACCACTAAACTCACCATCACAGACACCACTTTCATTAACAAATAATTTATATACCAGCCCTGTCCTCAAGAGTTTATGTTTTAAATATAAAGTTTAATTTTGATATTCTATCAGTTGTTTTATTCTTCCCATACAGCATGAATTTTCTCTTACAATAGAGCAGAAGAGTTAAAAAAAAGAAAGAAAAAAAAAAAGAACCAAAACAACAACAAAAACCAATAATATCTACCAAATACCAACCCTGACAAGAATCTTGCTAAAATGTACTACCCCATGTCTCCTACCCTTACCGTTACTATCAACCATCATCCTTGTTTCTAAGGGACAAACTCCTAGTCAATTTCTTTCAAGTCCAGAACCAAAACAACAACAAAAACCAATAATATCTACCAAATACCAACCCTGACAATTAAGAATCTTGCTAAAATGTACTACCCCATGTCTCCTACCCTTACCATTACTATCAACCATCATCCTTGTTTCTAAGGGACAAACTCCTAGTCAATTTCTTTCAAGTCCTGAGATAAAGGCATATGAAACATTCAGGAAATATTACATATACTTTCAAAACTAACGGTTCTTAAAGTAAAGGCATTACAGCCTTGCCATAATACCTCTCAGCTTTCCTGACAGACTTCCAGGAAGAAGTGAAGAAACCTTGGCACTTCCCTGCTTGTATGTGACAACAGGAAACAAGAGGAATGCTGGGACTCAGTACAGTGATGTCTGGCCCAGGCAGACTTAGAACTATAAAGAAATTCCTGTGCCCTAGACCAAGAGAACAAAATTATATAAGCACAATGTAATTTAAATAATATCTTTCTTTGTGGCAGAACAGAAGGGATCTAAACTTGCAGTTGAATCTTTAGGAAAAGGGCACAGAGTACCACAAAGACCTGCCCAAGGTTGTGATACTCAACGCATCATTACAACTGCTACACTCTGATGCAACATCCTATCACCATATTGCAACACATGATTTATAGCTCCAAGTGTTAAATTAAGACAGTTAATCTCTTCCTTTCTTTTTTCCTCAGACCCTTTTGAAGAAATAATTTGGAGCACATGTCTTCCTTTTTCCTGGCTGTTATGAAGGAGGAGTACGACAGAAGAACCACAACTTCCCAATTGTCTGGAAAACTGTGGCTTTCCTTTGCTCCAACAAAATTTATTGCAGTTAAAATACTGCAGCCTCATATCAGATGTAATTATAGAAAATTAACTATAGGTTGAGGGGTCATTTTCCTCAACATCAAAGGAGATGCTTAATGCCTCTTTATTTTTAGACTGCTAACATAGAATAGCAAAAGCAGAGGAATTTTTTGATGGAGAGAAGAAAAAGGTGAAAGTAAGGGATTATCTGGCAAAACTGAAGCTACACCTTAGCTATCCCTTGGACTTAGGAGTATGCACATTGGTTCTGATGAGGGAGGAGGCCTGTATAGGCTCTGGAAGTGGGCTTTTGAGAAAGGAATTCCAGGGTACTGAGTACCTAGAGTACACTCTAGAAGGGGTTGCATAAGCTTCAGGTGGGCATGTCCTCTGGGAGTCCTCATCCTGTGGAGTGGGATTTGGCTGGAAGGCAGCCAAAGCTGGGCTCTCTAAAGTGTCAGGGTCTTGGTTGCCTGGATATAAATGCTGCACTGCTTATCGTTATTACACCAGACTTTCAGGAGCTGACTATATTTAAACAACAACAAAAAGCAGACAATTAACCTTCCCCACTCCCCTTCCCACCAGAAAAAACAACAACAAACAAATTTCATGGGTATTATCGGTAGCAAACTTAGATTAGCATATTTAAATACCCATATGACCCACTAATCATCTGCATCAGGGTACTGAGGATACCTGTTAAAAATGTAAAATCCCTCCCCAGATCTAAATCCTGAGAGTGAAACCATAGAATCAACATTTTTTACAAGTCTTCTAAAGTTGGAGAATCACTGTGGTAGAACCTCTGTTCAAACCAAATGGGGCTGAGCCAGAAAGGAACTGATTTAGCCGAAATAGAATTCTTAATTATTTAGTACAAAAGTGCTTCTGCATTATGAACATCTGCCTTATGTGAGTCTGGTATATACAAATGGACACATCTTTGCAGTAGTATAACCAAGCTGTTCTGGGCCAACTCCACCATCTGGTGGTTGACACAACAAACACTCTGTTTAAACAAAGTCTTTCTCTGGAACTTCCTCCTGGTATAAAGGTAGGGTCTAGGAATGCATATGCTTTTGAAGCTCATGGCCTTTACTAATTTTTGGATAAAAAATATAGGAATACCT